GTGTGTGTGTGTGTGTGTGTGTGTCGGCTTTCCTTTTGCTCCTTATGTTATTATTTTCTTTCTCTGCCTATTTTCTCTGTCGCCCTGTTGGTAGTTGTTAATTATCTTTCTAAGTCTCTCTTTCGTTCTGTCTTGCCGCATGGCTGAAGACAAGCAGATGGGCATGGCGCATGTGTGAAGACAAGGAGATGGGCATGGCGTAGAACCAAGGAACAACCAAAGGCGAGTGATCAAATACAATGCAGCAGAAGACTGATACATATCAATCTGATTCAACTCGAGTCAGACTGACTGCAACTTACTCATCATCATCCATTAGGGGAGAAGGTATGGCGCTATACAGATAGACGAAGAGCGCCATGCCAGAGCAATATCCACAGATGAGGTGGTGGGAGAAGAGACGAAGGGAAAGGAGGAGAGAGAAGTCGTCAACCAAATAGTGTCACGGCATACCATCTCCCCAAAATAACCCCAATGTCTCCGCACAGATACAATGTCCAAGTCGCAGCAATCGCCCAATGTCACCCAGTCTCAACTCCCATAACTCTTTCTCTCTCTCTCTCACACATAGAAGAAGAAGCAGCAGAGGAAGGGAGAAGAAGAGGAAGTGTGGAGGAAGAGGGGGAGAAGAAGAAGAAGAAGAAGAAGACCTCTCCATGCATCTCCCATGGTGGAACCAGATACTACCAACGTAAAGGTGTCGCCTTGGAGCTGTGTCTGCGGGTGGATGAAGCTGAAGACGAACAGGAGCTATGGTGCCAGGTAAGCCTTCACATAAGTCCTCTCCTCTGATCTGGCCGCCTATCACTATTCCAACTCCTCTAAGTGAAGTAACGCTGTGAACCAACGCGTCGACCTCAACCTCTGCATACTGCATACCAGGAATGAGGCCGGTCCAGCTATCTATAGCGCTGGAACTACTGCTCCTAGTGTCCGCCTGTATCCTGGATCGTCCGATCAGTCCACCGATCGACGGTCCAGGATCCAGGCCCACAAACCTGTCCTGAAAAGTGTGCTGGGCCTACCGGTAACGCAGTCCAGCTACGAAGGGAATGCGCCTGGTCTGCAAAGTTGGCACTGGGCCTGAATCGGCCCCGAAACCTATGCTCGATACTACCGGTCTGGTCCTAGGCTGAAACGACGCGTCCAGACCGGACCAACCTGGGTGCATACATCCTGCATACGGACAAAACCAGAACTGCGAACAGACAAACACCTGGGAACAAAACAGTGGAAACCCAGAAAAACGCAGACGGCCTCAAAAAAGGAACAAATAACCCCACCACCAGAACCAACGCCCCCTAACCTAATATTGGGGCCCGAGGAGGCGCGCGTGGGAATGTGTGCATACCACAGTCTCTTGCTGTTTTTTTTCCTCTTTGTCTGGTTTTGTTTTTACATGTATGAAATAGCGATATCAGTAGTTGAACAACTTGAATAAGATACAATTGTTAAATTATACACATATATATATATATATATATCGTCACAAACAGAACTGCCCGGTAAACCGTAGGCAGAGAGAGAGAAGAGGACAACAAACGAGGGGCTGTGACAAACTGTTTCGTCGGAGTTTCACCGACTCATCTATATATCGTCAAATAGAACTGCCCGGTAAACCGTAGGCAGAGAGGGAGAAGAGGACAACAAACGAGGGGAACAGAGCTGCCCGGTAAACCATAGGCAGAGAGGGAGAAGAGGACAACAAACGAGGGGCTGTGGGTTCAGCCTCCTGATGAGTCGGTGAAACTCCGATGAAAC